GGGAGGGGGGTGAAATATTTGGCCAAGGGCTAGGTAGGTGGCGTCTGTTGCATATGTGATGCCACCCAGTGAAGGTTTTTGTGGTCTACCCTTAACTTAGTTGCCTGAGGACTTTTCATTGTTGCATACCGAAAATGTAAGTTGGATTCCGAAATGTGGAGATTATTTTATCGACTATATCCGTCAGTCAGCAGAGTCATGTTTCATTCAGCTACAGGTGGTCCTACTCCTACAGTCATGATCAAAGCAATCCAATAACAATATAATCTAGATTATGTCAAAGGGACATACCATTAATAGAAAAGAATCCTGTTGTCTTGACAACACGCCACCTTTTCTTCTTTTACACAGTTCTCAATGACATTTTTGGCCGCTTTGAGTTACTAATACCATGATGTCAGAAATCAAATGTTCCATCTGCTCTATCGAAATCGTAAGATTATTCGGAGTCGTTATCAAAATATTCAAAGAATTTCATTCGAAAAACCTCGACATTAGTTGGGGAAACTACAAATTGTTCACGTCAAATTGATCTAAACTAGCTTCATGTATTGAGCAGATAGAACTTCGTTGTTCTGGTGTAGTGAAATGTCGAGGGGAGGTGCAATTTTCGAACAGGGGCTTAGCGGGCGGCTTCTGTTGTTGGTGTGTTAGGCCGGTCCCAGAGTGGCTCTGTAGGTCTGACCTTTAGCTCGCCTGGCGCACGCCGTGTGCGTGTCAGAACAGCCGCACTGTGGGTTGGCGCCTGTGTCTCAGCGAGCGCGAGGCACACTCGCTGCGTCTCAGCACAGCCGCACAGTGTGTTGACGTGTGTAGGTGTGCAACTGACGGGTTTGCCTTGCTATATTTAGGTACTGTGTAGGCCTAATCCAAGACCAATTATTCTTTTGGAGGACCTCTTTGACGCGATCTAGTCACGTTTTTGTGTGATCCAACCCGGTGTCCTACAGCTGGTTGACTGTGAGTCATTCTAATAAAAGAGATATTAAAATGTAACTAAAACGTCTGTGTATTCATCACGAGGAGTGCCCGTCTCTACTTGTCGCTTTTGAACTTCTAAGAGAATTAAAACCTAAATTGTGCCAAAGGGAGCATATGACCTTATGCAGTTGCGAGCGTCGTAAAACCTACTAAAACTAAAAACTAAAAAGGGAGCGTGCTCATTTCAAAATCAGCTGCTTCTCTATAGGAAAGAATCACGCTGTTTTAACAATTGTTTTATAGTGTCGTGGGAGATGAAGGGGGGAAAGACCGAGGTGTTCGGCAACAATTCTTCCCACTTGAGAATCAAACTCTGGTCTCCAGCGTGCCAAAACGACGAGGAGCATAACTGCTACACCACAGAGACAGGTACCTTGACTAGAGATATGTAGCAGAGGTGTCACAGTTACAATATTATCATTTTTATCATTTTTATAATAATAATA